GCTTCTGGTTGTAATTAAGTTAGTAATTTTAATATTTTCATCAACAATCAAAAATATATACATTTATTTTACAAATTCCATATTATTAGGGTGGCGCCCTTGAGAGAATTAAAAATACAAAATTATCTTCATCAAAGCCGATGCTTTACATCCGGCTTTCAGTGGCAGACTACTATTTCATATTGTTTTACAACACATGGCTTTAGCCCTCTGGTGGGAAAGACTTTAAAACAAAACTTGCAACAGTTACTTTTCTCAACTACTGAAATTTAGAATAGTAAGATTAAGAAAAATATGTGAACTGTTTGCAATTTCAAATTAATATTGAAATGTACAGGATTAGAATTTTCTGCAGTGAAAAGTTTTCGGAACTTCAGTATTCAAAAAAGCATACAAAAACTAGACGTTAAGAACGTATCCAATGAGCAAGCAAAGCGAGCATTGGATTGCGAAGCAATCCGAAATGAACTGTGAAAGCAGTTCCGGGGGTTGGTGAGCGCCAGCGAGCAGGGGACGAAGCCTCCTAGTTTAAACTATTGAACTAAATTCTTGCTTGAAATGATTGTAGGGTATGTTAACAAATGCGTTTGGATTCTTAAAGGCGAATAATTGTGCAATTTCAAGATATTGACTAGATGATGGTTTGTTTACATGAAGTGTATTTCTTGTCGGATTTCATTGGCAAATTCGTCATAGCCCATTCAATACCATGTAAATTTCAATAGTTTTTCCTGATTGATAAAAAATATTGATTGTAATAAATTATTTGCCAAGTAATTTCAATCTTCTTGTCGGATTGATTTGACTATCTACTCATATAAACAGTTATTAAAACGCAAGTATGTTTTTTGTTTCAGTCTCATTAGATTTGCATAAATTTGTCAATTGTATCAAATAATTTTATAATATTCAGCTCAGTTATTTTCAAATTCTTATTTATATTCTGTCTGTATGTTTGATGAACAAAATAATTTTGTTTTAAGAAGTAGTAAATAGTTCGTTCACCAGGAGTTAGCACTTGGCTCCGCCCTCATCACGTGGTATCTGACGATACTATTTTGCTATTTTTGGGAGAAGGATGTGAACAATCCTGAACAAGGTTGCTATTTGGCAATTGTATGACAAAAATATTTATTTCGCAATCTTTATGTGCATTTTTTTAACATAAAATATTTTATAAATTTGATGATATTTCTCTCTTTTGAGTGAATAGTTTCTCATTTTGGAGACATTTTCTGAGAAAACAGCAATTTTTAAGTTTAAAATATATCTAATTAGCTGGAGAATGAAATGTATTGTAGCAGATGATAAAGCAAAGTAAGTGACTGAAAAAGAATTCACTGTTTGCGTTTAGAGCACGTTAAGGGTTGTCTTAGTTTCAAGCACGGATATGTCTCTCGTCTTACTCCCGCGCTGAAATGAACTCTGCGTCTGAGGAGGTGGAGCCAAATGCAAACTCCTGGTGAACGAACTATACATAAGTACCCTAAATTTATAATACCTGCTTTAGAGTGTAACGTAAAAGCAACTTTACTCATTTCTATGTGTATCATATCTAATTCAATAATAATTGTTAGTGTTTTTGAATTGCAAACATGGTGGTGGCGAATACTTTACACAAAGTAGAGTAAGAGAACATTCTAGGTATTTCCCTCCACCAGGGTCTTCGTGGTTTTGGTGAAGTGGAAATATACCACTGTCGTGTAAAATAGCTGGCACAATTTTTGGTTTTCTGCTATATGAAAATTGTTTACAGTGAGGGAATGGTAAAGCTTTCAATCTATGACTATTATTTTTATTATGAAAGCAAATCCTCTAGCAGGTTAATATTTGATTCAGGAAAAATATTTTGAGAGGAATGTAGAATGGTTATAAAATAAATACTAATCATATTGAAGTCTAAGGATGGCTAAATCAAAAGAAATACAACCTAAATAATTTAAAGATTATTTGGGTTTAAGAAAAAAAATTAATAATTTTACTTTGCTGGAAACAATTCTTCTTACATTTATATTCAATATGGGGTTAGGTTTGAAAATCCTTTTTTCAATGTTTTTTTAGAGTTATATGATATTCTAAGACCAATTTTTCATTCAAATGAAAATTTAAGTAATTGTATTCACTGAGTTATTTGGGCCAGAAAAAGACCTCCAGAACCCGGTTTCTTCCTCCATATTAGGCAAATTTAAATGCCTTGTTTTTTTTGTTTTATTTTAACCATAATTTCAAATTTATGTGAATTTTTCAATTGTGCTCTTTTTAGGAAATGTACACATTAGACATATTTTAACTTTTATGGGCTTTCTGGGATTTACTATCTTGAATATGCTGAAAGTGAATATGAGTGTTGCTATAGTATGTATGGTGAATTGGAAGGAATTAAATACAACTGAATTAAATACAACTGAATTAAATACAACTGACACCTACGTAATTGAATACTTGGATTCAACTGGAAACTTGTCACAATACTTGAACTCAACTGAAGACGACAATACAACTGACCCTACAACTGCTACTGCTCCAGCTAAAAACTTTTCCTACGCGGATTGGACTTGCTCATTCGCAGAAAATGTTACTGTAAGATCAGATGACGAGGTATGCTTATTTTAATTTCGTATTCATATTTATTTCTTATGAAATTTTTATATAACTAATAAAATAATATTTAATATAACAAATAGTTAATATAACTACCGTCTATTCCGGCGTATAAGGCGCACTTTTAATACAAAAAATAACATTGGAATTTACGGGTGCGCGGTATACGTCGAATATAAAAAATTATAGACTAAAAAAATTTAAATATAGAAAAATACTTTTATTTTTACACGTTCACGCCGGGAAAAGTAGCATAAAAAAGGGAAAAGTAGTATATAAAATACTGGTAGAAGAACTATTTCAATATTCGATAATATTCGGGAGGAGTTAATCTATTCTCAACAATAGCAATTCACTATAAGGAAGTTTATCACGGCGAAGAAGCAATTCAATATAAAAATTGCATCCGTTAAAAACAATTGGTAGTAATAGATTTTTTATTATTCCCGGAAAAAAACTAAAAAATGAAATTTATTGTTACCAGTTTTACTACGGTGAGCCGCCAAGATGAGACAATCTAGCGTGACCCACCGGTGGGTCACCCCGGCGTGAATGTGTTAAATAAATAACATGTACCTTTATATACTTTATTGATTTTCGTTATTACATGAATAGTTCATTATATTCGTCTTCCATTATTTCTTCAGGCACGTCATCACAATCTGTTTCGTCTTCATCATCTGTGTTACCCTCATCCATAAATAAACTGATCCGTCCAGATTATTTGAAATGCTGCATTTTTTGAATGATTTTCTGACAATCTCAGGTTTAGTTACGATCTTGAAAGACGAGATATTGCACATGTACAATCCAAATTTTCATGTGCGTTATACGAAGAGTATATCTTAAAATTTAAAAAAAAAGCATTAGAAATTACGGTTGCATGTTATACGCCGGGGCGCGTTATGCGCCGGAATATACGGTAATATTTAATATGACTAATATAACTTTTCGTACGTCTAAAACTGTCATGTCAAATGAGAGACAAAGTAGAAGATTTAGAGTAAAAACTTTATTCAATCTTCTGAGACTCAACATCCAATATAGCAAACAACATTTGGTACAATGCCGACTGGCCCCTTGTTGGGGTCAGGGAACTGGTCTTGCATCAGAAAGGTTCTTGGTTTGAATCCCGAGCAAGGCATAGATGTTCTTTTCTTCTCTGTACCATCTGTCCTTACTGTAGGAGCAACGTTGGTCCACCTAATATGGTGCACCTGAAAGAGTGGCCCGCAAATCTCCCCTTCAGATGCCTGTATGACGAAAGGTCCTTCTCCAGGTGGACATTAGAAAGAAAAAAACTTTGATACAATTTAACCCCTAAAGGCCTGGTTTCTTAGGACAGGACGCCGTCAGCTGGAAATCAGCGCTAACCTCTGATTCGTAAATTTGTGAGTTTGATAGTATACGTACGTCATCGAACGGTCATCTTGAACTACAATTGCCGTCCAACTCAACTGCAGTTGTATTGCAGCGTGACGTTAACCACAGAAGCAATGGCGGACAACATCCAACAGGACATTGAAATCAGCCAAGATCTTGATTTTGACATTAAACATAGCTTCTTCGTTAAATATAGCACTCTTCATTTAGCTCAGCTATAATGTGTTTTTTCTTGGACAAAGTCATTATTTGTTCTCTAAAACACTGGTCGACAATAACAAAATCAATACAAATTCAAAATAAATATTTGTTTACGGTATTAACGCATGCGCAATGAGACATAGTGTCTGCGTTGAACCGACTGTTCACGCTGAGCTAACAAAAAAGTATTTTTTTTTGGAGTCAGTTCTACGTCAACTCTCCGCTGACGCCCAGATAAGGCTCTTGTCCTAAGAAACCAGACCTTTAGAAGTATTACTTTATGCTTTTCTCTGATGATATTTCTTCACAGAGCGATTGTTCCAGCAACAATGTCTTGATTGTCTTAGTAAAAATGCCTTTGATTCAATATTTCAATTTAAATATTAGTGACTAATGTTTATAATTTTAACAATATTCGAATACTAATGGGGTTCTAATATATCTAATTGTTACTATGATTCTAATTTCTTTAAGGATGGACCTTATGCTATAACCACAGAAATGCAAGGTCATATTCTGGCCGGTTACTTCTACGGATTGCTAGTTACCCAATATGCGGGGGTCTTGATCGCTGAGAAATTGAGTAGTAAATATCTTCTTCTGTGTGGTATACTCATTTCTTCACTGTGTACAGTTGCTACTCCATTTATTGCTGATTCTATTGGGTTTTATTTAATTATTATACAAATCATCAAAGGAATTGGTATGGTAAGTATTTAGTTTGACCATCTGTTGTTGTATTATTCTGCTAAAATAATAATGTTCTACTGCAAAATTTACTTTGTAAAAGTTTATATTTACTGTATCATAAATATTGGGGGCTAACAGCTCAACTTGAATGAGAAGAATGTCACTCTTAACCATGTCAAAGTATATTTTCAATGTAATTACAAAACATTAATTATATGAAGTGCATATTTCTGTTGTTAAATATTAAGGTTATTAGAAATACATTTCTACAATATTTTCTTTTAGTATTTGTTTATATATTCGCAATTCGTTTAAAAAATATTGTCACTCAGTTTACTTGTCACTATTGACGATTACAGTAAGCATCATTAGGCTGACCACTCCAAAGATACATACTGTATAGAAAAGTTAGAAACACATCGTAGGACTCCTAAAATTTGTATGCTGAAGTTGTCACTATTATCCCCTTTCTATATATTCTTTTAATTAATCGATAAGTCTATATTTTATAAATGGTAATCCTTTTCGTAGCTAATAATTAAACTAAAATTTTACGTGTAAAATATTATTTTTCAAGATTTTGTCACATGTTGTTTTTACTGCCTCCTTTAAAATGCGTTAAGAATAATATTCATGCCTTCATTGATATGGAAAATTCATTGATTCAAATACATGCCACGTGTTACCAAAATATATTTAATGATAGTTGATGGTGTGTAGATTAGTTTCATTAATATTGCCGATTTCAAAAGAACTACTTTATAAATTTTTATTAATATTGCCGATTTCAAAAGAAGTACTTCATAAATTTTTATCAATATTGCCGATTTCAAAAGAAGTAGGGGAGAGTCGGGTAGCCCCACCCAGCGGGTACCCCCGAACACAGTCAATTTCATATGCATAGAATATTTTTTCAAGTCAATTGGCCATCCGACTTTAATTGTTATATTAAAAAAAGATTATTTTCAAAGTTTCATGTATTTATGCCGCTGTTAACATGGTAAACAATAGTTTTGAAAATATGTTGAATACAGTAGTCATGAAGTTAAAAAAAATTGGTTGAATGTTTCGATTAAACTTCATTTTAATACTAAGGAAATAGTTTTTTCTATACATACAGCATTAAAATATGCAGTCTTAAGTTTAATTTGCACGAAGAAAGAAGTTTATTTTTGAAAAATTGTTCGAGTAACTACAAATTTACAAAAAAAATTGGATTTCGTGTAGCCCCGCTCACTTGAATGTCGGGTATCAGCGCCCAATTTTATTTCGTCGATAAATGTACGGTTGCAAAGATTATTATTTTATTGCTTCAAATTTGAATGTTATATGCATTTTTAACAACATATATAGTTGTTATTAAATGATAGAATTCACTAAAAGTATATAAATATGTAATAAATAAAATAATTTTGTGATAAACAAATTGCATAGTTNAGAGCTGAAAAACATTTTTTTTAAACTTCTATTTTTTTAAGTTAAACTATTCTTTTTTCGGTTTATTCTCTTTGCATTATTTAATTAGATGGTAAAACAATAGAAACATACAAAAATATTGATTATTACTCAATATTATACAGAAATATAAGCAATACTCCTTAAGTGAGCGGGGGCTACCCGACTCTCCCCTACTTCATAAATTTTTATTAATATTGCCGATTTCAAAAGAAGTACTTCATAAATATTATTCTCTATTCTTGAATGCCACACTTCCTGAATAATTACCGGTATATTATTTGCATTTAAGCACTTAACATTTGCAGTGGTGATGATAATTCTGGTTAATTCAGTAATCTGTACTCGTAATTAAGTATTGTAGATGTAACTCTTTTTGAAGCAGTGTCTGTAATTGCTTATAGGGAGTCATCATTCCAGCTTTGAGTGTATTGATGGGAAAGTGGATACCGTTAAGTGAGAGATTTTACGCAATGTGTCTCGTAGGCAGCGGAATTCCGTTTGGAGGATTCTTAGGAACTTATCTATCTGGAGTTATTTGCAATGCTAAGAACTACGGCTGGCCCTACATATTCTACATCTTTTGTAAGTGAAATATTTTTTAAAAGAAAAAATAATTCCTGATGTAATATATAGTTTCAAAAATTAACTGGAAATGCAAAACCAGTACACATCAAATAATTTAAGAATTATTTACATAAAGAGTGGAAACTTTTCATATGAAACCACTGTTAAAGACCTGGTTTCTTAAGGTCTGGTTTCTTAGAACAAGCGCCTTATCTGAGCGTCAGCGGGACGTCAACGTCCCACTGACGCCAGCAAAATACTGGTTTGTTAGCTCAGGAAACGTCGGCGTCAGCTTGAAACGAACGCTTGCCTCTGATTGGTTAATTTATGAGTTTGACAGCATACGTCATCGAACGCTCAGCTTGAACGACAACTGCCGTCCAAATCAACTGCAGTTGGATTACAACGTTACGTTAACAACAGAAGCAATGGCGGACAACAGCCAACAACAGAGCATTGAAATCAGCCGAGATTTTAATTTTAGCATTAAACATAGCTTCTCTTTCCTCGTCTTCTTCATTTAGCTAAGCTATAATGTGTTTTTTTCTTGGACAAAGTCATTATTTGTTTTTTAAAGCATTGGTCGACAATCACAAAATCAATACAAATTCAAAATAAATATTTGTTTACGTTATTAACGCATGCGCAATGCAAGATAATGTCCGTGTTGGACCGACTGCTCTCGCTGAGTTAACAAAAGGTATTTTTATGGCGTCAAAATTATATCAACTTAACACTGACGCCCAGTTAAGACGGTTCTTCTAAGAAACCAGGCCTTGAGCTAACAAACCAGTATTTTGTTGGCGTCAGGGTAACGTCAACTTAACGCTGACGCCTAGATAAGGCGCTTGTCCTAAAAAAACCAGGCCTTAAGTGAAAAGCATGCTGCTATTTTTAAACGATAAGAAATGCTGAACTCCGACCCACCCCAGGGGGATATACAGTGATAAAGGTTAAATTATCACATTAAAAAATTTCTCTAAGAACTAAAATTACAGTAAAACTTTGCCAAATAACAGTGGTGGTAATCAGTTAAAAGTGGATTAACTATAACACTTGACAATTAAAAACATGTGTTAAAGGCAATGAAACCCAATAGCGCCGGTGTAAATGTCGAGAATTAAATGATTATAATAATAAGGAAACAAGAGATAAAAAAAATCTCAAAACTAAAATCAATGAAAGCTAAAAGTCCTAAATGTAAATATCTAAAAGTAAAAGTCTGACTAGAAAGTCTAAAATCAAAAGTAGATAAAATTTCAAAATGTAAGGCTAAAAGTTGATTAGTATAAATTAACGATGACATGTTCTATAGTTGGTTCATGACTGGGGTCAGTTGATCTGGAGCTAAAATGTCCTCGAGGGCGTGTTTAATAATTTGAATCACAATTTTCCTGCAGGTTAATATAGCAAATAATTGGTGTTCCTCTTCGCAGTTATTCATGTGGGTTCCACGAAGTGTCCGGAATCTTGGACGGCGCTTAATTAGATGTTTAATGTCCTGTCTCACACCTCAGTAATGTTTATAGGTGAATTAGGGGGGCGATAATCGATAAAAAAACGTCAAAAGAAAGAAATAATATGCCACTTTGTTTTACAGTTATTATTTTGTAACAGCTATTCTCGACTGTTAGGCATCATTTTGTTTATAAATTTAAACTAATTGACTAACTAATTGACCTGCTAAACTAATTGGTCAAAAAAATTACAAAACGCAAATTAAAATTTATGTCATTTACAATGACTACATTTCATTTCTAACTACTATAGTTTCAGAGCGTAATAAAATTACATCTTTAGTAAATTCGTAGGTATCTATCTTCTCTATCAAATCCCCATTGATAATAACCTTTACCTGATTCTTGCTTTCCAGCTGCATGTATGTTTGTTTTTTTGTTTGAAATATCTTTTATGTTTACTTTATAAGCATAGTTTACTTTATTTATTTGATTTACAACTTCCTTTCATTTTTTATTATTCTTATAATACATTTATTTATAAAAAGTATGCCAAAAATATGTATATGTCAAAAAGTATGATAAAAAGTAGTCTTTCCTCGAGTTACGTAGCAATGGGTAAAAATAACACAAACATATCTACGAGTGTCACTTTTGTTTCTTTATTATTTTCATCGCGATTTATTTTGAATGTATTTTAGTTTTCTCTTTTTCCTTTATTTAGCTTTATTTTAATATTTTTCTATATTTATCCAGCACTCTTTAGAAAATAAAGAAACAAGGAACTATGCAAACTAAAATTTATTCTGCTTATAATGGCTACATATATAACATATTGTAAAACGGGTAAAAATCGAACAGTAGAAAAAAAAGCAACAAAATAAGTATAAATGAAATTGAATGAAAATTGAGAACAAATCATCTTAAATGCAAATGAAAAAAGAAAGTTATTCATTAATTATTGGAGGGAAATGAGATATTTCATATATAATAAATGCAGAAATGCATTCATATGTAATAAATTCAAAATTGAACATGAGATGTAATTGTGAAACCTACTGATATATCCATTCTTAATGAAAGCTTTATTTTTTTAAATTTTTAAATGAGACATAGGAAGCTTCTTTTTAATAAATTGTTTATACAATAATTACTAAAAGTGCATTGCTGAAAGTGCATTGCTAACAGTTTTGGAATTGAGAGAATTTTTTAATCTTAAGGGTTAAAAAAGAAAGGGTTAAAAAATTTTAAATAAAGATATGTCTTAGAAACACACATTTCAACACCTTATGTGACATTCACTTTTGTATTTTATGGATTATTTATTCTATTCATTGTGCTTAGTGCGTAGCTTAGTCCATTGTATTTTTAAGCCAAATCATCACCTTCTCTTAAACTTTTATAAGAAATAATTAAAGAATATTTACATAAATTGTAATTCAAAAACTGACTTTATGTTCGATTATTTTATCCTTTTACAGCTGGAGTAGGATTTGTTTGGTCTTTAATCTGGCTTATTATGATTTTTGAATCACCTTTGACTCATCCGTACATCACTCATCACGAAATGATTAGAATTTTGGAAAACCAAGCTATTCTTCCACTGTCGGTAAATATAATTCTAGTAATTATAATAATAGTTTAGTGGTAGGACCTATCACTTTAGCTATGAAAAAGCACTTCGCTGAAACTTTGGATTCAACTACGTATAAATAATTATGTTATTAATATATTATGGTAGACAAAACTTACTTGTTTCTTCAACATAAATAATAATGTATGTGCCATACATGTGCCATCAGTCTTTTTTTCTTTTCTTTTGATAAAATAGAATATTGCTTTTTCAAAAGAAGACTACCTTTCAGGTCGTGATTCACTTAGAATTTTATAAATTGACTTTTTTTTAAATCTTAAAAGCTGTGATAAAGTTAATTAGTGATTTTTCAACTGTTGCGATAACCGTTATATTTGTGATTATCTACCTTTAAAAATTTAAGTACTCATAAGGATTCATTGAATAGAAAAATCTTTAGGGGAACCGGAAAGTAATGTCGTTTTGGCATATTAAATATTCGTTAGTCTTAAAAACCAATTCAATTTTTTCGATTCATTTTTGATCCGGCATTGATAGGTTGTTGGAAGCGAGGGTGAATACATAATTGATTTAAAATAAAATAATTATAACACATATCAAATACGCATAAAGGACATTACTTTCTGGTCCCCCTAATACATCCATGGATGCCTATTGTGAAAAAAGGTGAGGAACTAGGAGGGAAAATTTTAAATTATTCTCTTCAAGTACTATTTTTTGGTGAAATATTTTTTCTAGCTTATGACGTCCAATCTCTAACTCCAGCTAAACATACGAAATACCTATGTCCAGTGTTCTTAAAAGTACCTAGCATAAATGGGTTGACAATAACTAACTTAACAAACACTGATTCCTAAATCAGTGTAAGGGAGCGAATGGGTTTAGAAAATCAATTTCCCGTTTGTGTTTGAAATTTCAGTGAAGATTGGCTTTAACTATTTACAATATCAAAAGAGAAAACTGGAGAATTTTGACTTTGAAGGAATTTTTTTCAATACGATGTTAAAGAAGGTCTTCTCGGATTCAAACCACTCAATGTTGCTCTGCGAACAAGAGGAAAAATAAGTTCCGCCCGGGAAAGATGAAGACTGCACCTAAACATTGAATTGATTGACAAAATTATTCAAAAAACCTCATAGAGTATCCTCATATAAACGCGTGAAAAATCAAATTTTGAATCAAATGTTGTTAAAAATTGTATATTTTTTTCGAAATTCTATTAAATAGTGAATTTATTTTTCAATTTAGAAATATTAAATACTTATTCGAATTACTTATTTTTAGAGAAAAACTTCTGTACCATATAGTTATATTTTTAAATCAGGACCGGTATGGGCTTACATTGTTGTTGGATTCGTTTCTTTTTGGGTTCTGAGCATTTACACAACTCTCATTCCAATCTTTATGAGTACAATCTTGAAATTTGGAATTGAAATGGTAAGTTATAATTTTTTATTCGTTTTGTCACCTTTTTTTTAAATTTGTATGCTAACTTGCTTGAATGCTGGTTATTTGAACGGAATAAGAAAAAGTCAAAAATAAATTAACGAATCTTAACTCTTTGCACTCTAATGACTTTCAGCTATTAAACAATTGATTGTAGTCACTCAATGTATATAAGACATAACTCGTTCTTTACACATTTATCTATTAACACCTCGAGGCCAGTGGTTACTAATTGGTGGTTAAAATAGTGGTTACTAATTATTACGGTTACTAGCTATTAACATTTTGAGTGATGTTTATTTTCTAGGTGACAGTGGTGACAATATAAAGGGTATGTGGTGGGTGTATAATTGGTCTGGTGCATAAAGAAGTGTACTGCGTTGTGTACACCTCTGACCGTGTGCAAAAGAAAAAATGGACCTCTCTGAATAACTTTTGTTCTAACGATCTCATCATCGTGTTCCAGAATTCAATTTTGAAGGTTTGAGAGGGTGACCTTCAAATATGCTAATAAATTAGTGCAGAAGATATTTTTAAGTTACGAAATCAGACACAAAGGCGCATTTTCTCTGAATAAACCTACCTTTCTTTTGATGCGGATTCGTATTCATAATCCCCAAAATATAGTGGATAGCCGCAATCTGGAAAATTGGGTTACCACAGTTTGGTCAGGAGAACTGTAGAAAAATTTGACCCTTTAATGTTAATTTCACTTTTTGCATATTTCGCCATATCTTGAGAACTTTTTTAAGCGAGTTGAAAAATTTTAACACACAATTATAAAATTTGTTTATTCAAAGATAATTTTATGCAAAAAATAAATTTTTGTAAATATTTATTATTTAATTTAATAATAGTCGAAAACATTTTGAGCAGTAAGGTATACAATTTTTTACATCATTTTAAATAATGTAATTCTAATAAACAAAATACAAAATATGAACGAAATCGATTGAATAGTTTCAGGGAAATAAAATTTTGACGAAGCCGTATTTTTTAATTCCTCTGTATTTTTTTCTTCAAGTACTGTTGATTTTCTTTATTTAGGTTTATAGATACTTTTTCAGAAATTTAATTATAAAGAAACTAATCACGTGTTTCAAATAGTTTTTAACACGTTGCTGCACACTTTTAATTTGACAATCGTCCTCAGAATACTAATTTTGTTTTAAATTCTTTTTGACTGCTATATGAAATTGAGCGTCTGCCGTATATTCGTAGTGAAAATTTTCACGTTTTGTCTCAGCTTTTTTAAGAAAATTTTGGAAAACTGGAATAACAAATAAATGCATTGGTGCACTTCGTACTGGTTATGCTTCCTTTTTTATTAACCAAAATGTGACGAACCAAGCTGTCTGCTGGCCATTTTCGTGAATTTCTTTCCAAATCCAATGATATTCCAGTATTTCTGAGCTAATTAATTTTTAAGATACAATTTCTCCAACGAATCTGATATTGAGGAGTAAGATTCAGCTTTTAAAAAGAAGTAGTTATTAACATATTCGAATTAAAAGGAACAGGACAGTAGTTATTAAAAGAGATTTTTATTAGAGGCTGTAGACATTCTGAGGACGGCTGCAGCCGTTGTTTGTCTACATATAGCCAAAAATCGGACAGCTATAGCCGTCATTTGCGGCATTATGTTACTGATTAAAATTAGAATTAAATTCTTGAAAACATTAAAGTTGTTATAGGATTCCTAAGGATCTTCCAAAATTATTCAGATGGTAGCAAACTACTCAACAATGCCATATGAGATTTTCCTCACTTCGCAACCGCTTTAATTTAGATAATATTCATGTAGCATATAATAGACTTCTATAAATAGAATAAGTTTTCAAATCTTAGTTGTGTTCAAGAATAATTTAATGATCAATTTAACAAGAAATATATTTTATAATATAAATTTTGTAGCAACTTAAAATTTCTTCCATCTTTGGGAGACATGTTGTTACATACCTCTACTAACAAGTCAACTCCACTATTTTGGAGTTACGTTATTGAAATTTAAGTTTGTGACTGCCTATTTTAGTTTTAAATTCATAAACCTTAATTGATTTTTATTAAATTTACAAATAATAATTACTTTTTATTAAATTCACAAACAAGAATTACTTTTCGTTAAGTTCACAAACAATAATTAATTTTTATTAAAATCACAAACAGTAATTAATTTTTATTAAATTCACGAACAATACTTAATTTTAAGTTTATTTTAAATTCAAATCTAGTAATTAATTTTCAAATTCACAAATAATAATTAATTTTTAAATTCGCAAACAATAGTTATTTGGATAACTTAAATTTTTTTCTGTTTTAATAATTTAAATTTCAATGCTCCCACAAATGTTTTAAATGTTCTAAATTTATTGTAAGTATTTTTATAACCACTTCGTAATATTTCAAAATTGGAACAGATTCTAAGACATATTTTTACAATATTTAATTATAGAATGGAGTATGGTCGTCGTTGCCCTACCTCGTGGAAATGGTTGCTTACTTATTTTGTTGTGTCCTCAATGATAGACTGATGAAAGTTGGAAGAGTTCGTACTACTAAAATTCATAAATGGTCAATTTGCATCGGTAAGAAAAAATTAGTTTCTAGTTATTTTCCCCCCAAACAAATAATATATGCAGAATGATGCGGTTGCAAAATCAAGGGAGAGGTAGGGAACTTCATAAAGAATGAGAGTTATAAAACAACTCATGTCCGAAAATGTCCGCTTATGCCACTAGAGGGATCTGTATTGGAACTGACTGAATATGCATGTTTGAAATTGTATTTTTATTTATTTAGACCATTTAATTTTATGCTAATTTCAGTTTTTCTGCTTATTGTTGAAAATTGCATTCAAATAAGTACACAAATAGCAGTATTATAGTGATTTTAATAATTTGGTGTCAGACTTGGCAATCTTAACAAGCTAATCGCCACATCCTCAAAATAGGGTTTGGTTCATTTCCTGATAGGGAAGCTCTCCTATCTCCTAATTATCGATCCTTCTGATTTGTACTTGCTCCATTGATAGTTCGTAACTACTGTACTGGATTATTTTGCATATTTCTACGTTTGGTGAAATACCAGATACCATTTTGATGAAAAAGAAGAAACAGATCAACTGTTTCTGACCTTTAACTCGTTTAAATACACCAAAATTTTGTTGGATATCCGCAGCAGCACTTACGATTCTTGGAACAAAATCCATTTTTGAATCCATAGATGTTGCGAACACAGTGCATTCAAACGAAAAAAATCTATGCCGCTAAAATCAGGAGAGTGTAGTGGCCATGGAGCCGGTTCTCTCTCTGTGGATACCTTTAGCTGCTCGTGCATTTCCCTCAGTTAATGCTTACACCATTTGCACTTCTGCCACTCATTTAATTTGAATAACTTGCACTTCGTTGTTCATAAAATGGCGTTTACTCCTCAACGGGCGATAACAAATCAAATGACTGCGGCCTTGGCCAAAGGATAGGAGCTCTTTGTTTGCCAAGACAGCGACTATGCAATTCTGTTTCCTCCAGTGCTCTAGTGAACAACACCACCTAGCAGCAAACAAATCGTTTCCAACCATCGGTTGCTGTGCAAGTATGAATCACTATGATGTGTCCTACTTCCAATTAATGGTTGTACCAAAAAACTTGGAGAACCCCGTATAAGCAATATGATTATGTTACGTATTGGATATTAACAAATTGAAACTTGTAAAATACTTATTAGTTTTCATTTAATTTTTACTGACATTTAATATTTATGTTTTCTCATAGGTTTGTTTGCATTTGCTGTACACATGCTTGCCATACCTTTCACAGGTTGTTTAAGAGTTCTTACTGTAGTAATGCTTGTGATAGCACTGGGTTACTTTGGACTGATATTTGCATCCACTTCTTACATACCTTTATGTTTATCACCACGTTATTCAGGTTAGTGAAATAGCATATCTTTATTTCATTTGAAATTACATTCAGGTAAGTGATACAGCATCCCTTTTTTAATTTGAAATTACATTCAGGTTCGTGAAACAGCACCCCTTTTATAATTTGAAATTACATTCAGGTTAGTGAAACAGCATCTCCTTTTTCAATTTAAAATTATATTTAGGTTTGTGAAACAACATCTCTTTTTTAATTTGAAATTGCACTTAGTAAAAATTTACACCTGCTTAGAAATATTTGAAATATGATAAATAACTTATGTTTTGTATTTACTTAGAAAGTAATGGCTTTCTGACAAGTATCTGTTGCAAAATACTAGAAAGTAGTTAAACGATTGTGCTGTCAATAGATTTTTAATACATTTCTCCGTTCAAACTGTGTTTTATAAATATGAGGCTTGTTCGGAACATAAGTGCCTTTTTTGAAATATAATATAAAACATGTTTTTAAAATACAACTTAATTTTGCACGAAAAAGCGTTTTGAAAACTATTTTCCGACTTAGTTACTGTCACTGTTCAGACGTTTGTCTTAGCGAAAAACAAAATTTTCTTAACCTCTTCAAAGAACGATGCCGCCAATTAAGAAACTATAATTTAAGCTATGTGTGACGATCTCCTACAAAACAGTTTTTGAAATTTGAGGAAACTCATTACAAAGCATTCTTATTAGGAAATTTATGTTATTTTATGTCGTCCTTGAACAGCCGCCCTAATTTTTGGGTTTACGACTACTAATGTTCAACTCCGTACCCTTGTAATTTTGGACCAATCCAGAAGACAAGGAAACTCCTGGATCAGTACCCCCAGAGGTATTGATATATTATGGGAACATGGAGGACTTTGCGACTCGACAGATCTAACGTGCATCTGTCACCATTTACTACACGGGGCGTCTTCTGTAGGCGGGGATTGAACCAGCGAACTCTTGGACATGGGCCCAGTGCCCTTACAACCAGGCTAATCTTATAAGGAAATGTCAGTTTTCGCAAATTTTCTCCATTACTTTTGCAATTGCAACTAAATTATCACCATTAACATAAAGCTACTCACTCTGTTCTTCGACCGGAACATTGGTGGTGTGTTGTACCCACTTCCTTATCTTTCCATCCCTCGAAACATTTTCACAATTAATTATCAAAAGGTTGACAATAAATTTGAGTTGACTTAGCTTTCTGTGAGCTCAGAAACCGTATTAAAGAACTCACTTCACAGTACAGTTGACGCACACGGCAATTATCTTGAACATTTTGAATGCTCACTAATCTATGTAAACGCAACAGAATCCGTTTGCAGAAGCATCAATGGACAGTCAATTAATCAGAGACATGTGTACACATGCGCGGATTACACAACGCGAATAAGGTGGAGCCTCTTGGCTGTTTCGGTTTGAATATTTACGTTTGCCTCATAACCAAAGTGAAGGAAAGATATTCGAACGGTTCTATTAAGCAACTGGATCACATTTATGAATGTTTGAGAAAGAGAAAAATTTATTCGCTCGCATCTAAACTGTTTTTATTTAATATTCAGAGCAAGGAGGAGGTTTTTTGTGAAAAATACTTACGTTTTGGCTTTCAGCTTGATTAACAGTAAAATTAGCTAAGTCACTAAATGAAAATTTGACTAGTTGTTCATTGCAACACAACCGCTGCGGTGTTAGTAAAACATTCGTTCCTTACTTTCCGGACACGGCTCATATTTGAGTAATATTAAATGAAAACGCTTAACATATTTTATCACTGAATGTATATGTTTAAGACTTCGCTCTTCAGCTGCTAGTAACTGCAACCTCTTAATGCTGTTCCATCAATAATAGTCTTGTGCAAACAACTACTTCAACAATAACAAACAATTTCTAGAACGATTTAAAGTCAGGATTTCTTATTTCACAGAGGATATTTATAATAGGTAGGGCTTTGAATCGTAATGTTTGCTACTTGTTATTCAAAAAGTTACAGTAATCTTTAACAGTTTTTAAATATGAAACATGGAATTTTCATAATCGCGGTAAGTGGGAATAAGATCAATAAACCCAGTTTATTTAACGAAGAATCTAAAATGCGTTTCCTAACGAAAGACGAACGCATTCCAGTCTCTTATGTAGGAAATAAAACTGGATTCACCATGGATTCTTAAGACCATTTACATGTAACCTTTTTATATAATATCGATATTAAAGGGCTACAATTACGAAACAATGTGTACTTAAAATATATGGGTTTTTTTATGCATGAAAATAAACTATTTCCCTCATTTAGGTTCAATTTCTGGAATAATGAACACACTTGGAGCAATAACTGGAATAATTGCACCTACTATGATGGGTTACCTTACTATGAAACACGTAAGAAACATGCCATAATTATAAATATGTTAAGCAAGGATATTTTAGATGCTGTGAGAAAGTGAGAGCAAAATATTTTTTTTAAATATCAGAAGTGTCATAAATCTATAAATCTCATTTATTTAATCTATTTAAAAATAAATGAAAAATATTATTACCTCTAAAGTTTAAACAACGATGAAGAGCCCTTGGTAGCTCAGTGGTTAGAGATAGGTAGGACTAGAATCTCATCCTCGACTCCCTTCCTCCAGCAATTAACTACTAAGTACATGTGATGTATGTGCTCACAAAATTTGTGGAATTGAAAGTCCCGTGTTCGGTCACTGAGAAGTGGAAAACGGAAACTGAGAGTGGAGTAAAACGACCTGGAAAAATTTCTCTTCCCCTTCATATCTATGTCTAAATTGAGGACGTGGCCTCGCGAATGAGTGGTGCCATGGGGTTCTGAGTTAAGACGTACTTTCACACTAGCAGTTCTCTCTTGTCTAAACAAAAGGCTCACCATCTTGACGTAATTCTCAAAAATCCAACAACCGGTGAGTTTGATTTCACAAAGGGCATTAGAAACCATTGACACAACGCTGATGGAGGACACAGAATTATCAGTTTATGCATTGAAAAATTCAAAATTAATTTAAAACATCGATTTAAACAGTCTAATAAAAAGAATGATTTTACAAAATAAAACCAAAACTGCCGTTTTATTATTGATGAAAATAAATGTGATTCAAATAATTTAAAACCCTAAAAATTAGTTTTACGAATTAGAAACTTTCATTTCAAGTAGTAGAAACTGATTCTTTCAGAAATGTTTATTTGGAACTTTTTCTTCTATTTGACAGAGGACTTTGTATGAATGGCAAATCCTGTTTTTTCTGACTGCTGCCTTAGGCTTGTTGGCTCTAATCATCTTTGCAATATTTGGTTCCAGTTCACTACAGGAATGGGATGATCCCGCTTTTCGCGGCGAATCAGATCTTGAAGAAGAATTGGTCGTCGAAGTCGACCAGACACCTGAAGGAAAACTTGAAGTTACATTGCAAGATCCAGAAAAACTTTAAAGTTACAAAAATTTTGGACAAAAGGAATGGACTACGGGCTATCAAAATTGTAGGAACAGAAAGTGTAATGAAAGAACTGAATTATCTTTTTAAGTTGTGTTAAATAAATTATCAAACATCAGAATACTTACTGTACTTTTAGATACCACACGAACTAAATGAAGGTATTAAGACCAGTAGATATTTCCGATCAAATATGTGAAGTTACGGAGTCGGGGTGGACAGCATAAAGATCAATATCATATCTCATAAGGTAGGGTTCACAGAAAAGAATTAGGTCAACATCGCAGCGTATCCCGCACAAAAGTAATTTAGCTAGATTTTCGAATATTTAATGAACTTGCACAACGAAAGCAATAAGCTGAGACGTAGACATCGACTCATCAATGTAACACATTTATGCAACTAAAACGCGCACTTTTGATTCAAATCTCAAGTACCTCTTCGATCCCTTTACGATCGTAAACGGTTTCTGAAATTCAACTGTAACAAGAATTGCCCATCGAAAAAACTTATCTCTTCTGGTAGGTCACATATGCTATCCGGTAGGTCACATATGCACTTTCTCCACCAATGAAAAAATTCGCAGTAGTTATCTCAACAATTGGTTGGGGAAGTTATTTTTTCCCGGGTGTATGCGCATTGCACCAGAACTGACGAAGGCGCGCTTATGAGCAATTACCTCAAATCTTACATACGACGGAGCAAACGCAGAGTTACGTTAAGTGCGAAATCTTCATTATACCTATATTGTAGCTTAAACTGATTAAAGATATGATCAATAGATCCAACAAGCACAAATTCATTTCTCTACTGGCCGCCTCCGGCAACCAGCATTAACCATCAGCATCTAGACCTCGATGAGCACACGCCAGGGACTAATCTATGGTACACGCTTTTCTGGTTAGCAAAACCGGATAGTGCGCCATTGATTATTGTCATCATATCGCCATCATTATGCGTTGTTATCAAATTTTTGGAGATCCTGCTTCCATTGCCCGCTGACTCACAACTAGATATAGAGAGAATGTTTTATTTCTAAAAAAATTTAATGATTGAACGAAACTTGATTTTCAGTGTAATTTTTTTCTTCATATTATTAAGCTGAATGAATTCAAATAATAAATCTTAAAATTTAAAAGGAATTGGATAACTACAAGAGATGTCATCGTGGATATGGTTAGCAATTGGCTGTTGAAATGTGGTATTGATTAAGTTAATAACTGTGCTTTCCATTCAGTTTCGAATAAGCCGATCCCGTCAAATAAGTATTTTGTTACATAAAGTATTTAACAAAGAAAGATTTGGTTGCTATTTTACTTAACACAGAGACAGGTACGAAGCCATGCGGAACATGAACAAACTAATCAGGCAACAGATTTATGAAAAACAGGAAAAAAATTAACTCGTTTACAATAAATTACATAAACAAATAATTAATCTAGGTAAAATAAAAGACGTAGGCAAGAAATGATTATATTTTAACAAATTCGATGTACGATATGGTGTTGCTTTTATTTAATTACACACTCATTGACAATATAACTCATATGGCGATGGTTTTTAGCTCGATCTTAGCCATCAATATGCAGAATATTAACCCATCACCTTGTTTATAAACAACTAGTTCATAATGAAGGTGGTTTTGCATCAGTGGTCTTCTTGAAATAAGAGTATCCCTTTCGTTGAATAGTTTCCGAAAATATATTCACTTTTTATAGTTCTGTTTTTAAGTATAATTATTTCTTAATGTATTCAAATAATTCGTTTCATAAAATACCTAAAAATAAAAATCTAGAATGCAACTATTTTAAATTAAGATTATTGTTCTAGTGTTTTATTTTTCTAGATAAGATAAATGTATAATACTCTCTGACACAGTTAGCCATTGATATTTATTTGCTGGTAAATCATAGTAGTATCCAGTTTACCCACTTTTTTCCCATTATTTTTCGATGCCATCAGCATAAAACTATTGAAGGTCTCAAAGGTATTGCTTTCCTACAAAATAATTTCGTATTCCTAATTTAAAAGTATTTACTAGAAATATTTATTTTTCTTATTCTGCTATATATATTATTAATTTTTTTTATTTTGATTCCTCTCTAAATTAAGAGGCTAAATATAAAATAATTGTTTCTTTATTATAATGTAGCTCTATGATATTGCTCTATTACACTATACTTTAATATAAACTTATTTAAATCGGTGTATAAGATGATTCACCATTTTATAATTCATATTTTTTATACAAATTATATGAATATACTATTATAAGGTTGTAGAAGAGTCCTTAGTGTAGTAATGCATGTGATAGCACTGGGTTACTTTGGACTGATATTTCCATCCACTTCTAACATACCTTTACATTTATCACCACGGTATTCAGGTTAGTGAAACAGCATCTCCTTGCTTCATTTGAAAGTGAAGCAACATCCCTTTTTTAATTTGAAATTATATTCAGGTTAGTGCAACAGCATCTCTTTTTTCAATTTGAAATTATATTCAGGTTATTGAAACAGCATATCCTCTTTAATTTGAAATTGCGCTTAGTAAAAATTTACACAAGCTCAGAAACATTTGATAAGTAACTTATATTTTGTATTTACTTAAAAAGTAATGTGTTTCTTACATGTATTTGTTACAAAATACTAGACAGTAGTTAAACGATTATTTTGTCAATAGATTTTTAACACATTTCTCCGTTCAAACTGCATTTTATAAATACGAGGTTTGTCCGAAACATATGTATAATATATAATACATTGATATTTATTTGCTGGTAAATCATAGTAGTATCCAGTTTACCCACTTTTTTCCCATTATTTTTCGATGCCATCAGCATAAAATTAATGAAAGTCTCAAAGGTATTGTTTTCCTACAAAATATTTTTGTATGCCTAATTTATATTTTTGATACAAATTACATGAATATACTATTATAAATTATAGTTAAAGAGATTTGTTCAGGGATCAAGAGCTTAACGATAAACTGCATTCACAAATTGTATTTAATATAATACTAACCTGTTTTGTATAGTCAGTATTTAATATAACACTAACCTGTTTGGAAAATGCTAACTAACTGTTGTGAACTCGCCAACATTTGTCAAAACAATTTGTTGTAACTATATACATTTAATTTTAAAAGTTATTTTAAAAGTTATTTTAAAAAATGTTTACTAATAAAATTATTTACGTTCACTAATAGATCGTAATAGAATCATAAAAGAGAAATGTTTGGACGTGGAAAATGGGAGCACAAGCATGAGCGAACAAAATTTTTCTTTGTACATATGTTTTAAGTGAACTATTTAAACTTCTGTGTAAAAAAAATCTGTTTTTTACCCTGAAAACTACAATTATTGCGGAACAAATCAGTGGGACTAGTAAGAAGAAAAGAGACTTTTCCCTCTATTCATTATTCAGTTTATTGTGTGCTCTTCTGGCCCTTAATCCCTTGACAGATCATTTTTCTTAATATTAGAAATGATCTTTGATTGCACTGTTAACAACAACTAGCAACGGAATGTTGACAGAGATGCCAACTGCGCCGGACATGCCAAAATAATTTAAAAAAACGGTTAATAACTACAAACTAAATTTTGCAAATATTTGACTATTTTTGCTTACTTTTAAAACGTATAGCATGGCATAACTACTAGAAAGTGGTGAATTATATAAAACTACGAATTATTTAGAAATAGTGGTAGATAAAAATCTACTAAATTAAATTTATTAAATCAAGAATCACAATTGATAAACTACCACTTAAAAATATTTATTTGCTGTCCGGAGCAAGTTGGAATTTCAGTGTTGAAGACGTCTGAGACACGTCAATTATTGTTTTGACGTAAGTAACAAATGGCGTCTTCCAGACGTCTTCGTATGACAAGGGGTTAAAATTGCATTTTAGTTACTGAAAATTTAAAAAATTAGAAGAACTGTTAAAGTATATTTTATCCTCTCGCATGACATTAAAAATGATCTCACGATATTCAAGTAGCAAAAAATTTATTACTTACATAAACTCTTTCAAAAGAAGTAATTAATGCTTTATTGCTTAAAATATATTTTATAACCTGTTAGCACAATTAGACTGGAGTTTATAAGAAGTGTTTCCCATATTATCTTCCTCCAACTTATAAGCAGAAAACAATAAAAATAGAAATTAAGAATCTCCTTCAAGGGAAATTAACGTGCATTTCAAGAGACCTAATTAGGGCGAAGAAGCTGAGGTTTTAAGGAAAGAGGATTATTGTTGTTTTTTTACTCTTAAAAGAAGCTATAAGCTCTCGAGGGGGTGTTTTGGGAGGATCATAAATCAACTTGTTTTAAGAAAAAACCAACAAATCTGATGCCATAAATCTCTGACATGGTGAAGAAAGAAAAAACAACAAGCATTTAAAAAATTTACTTAAAAAAAAGCTTTTTTGGATAGTATTTAGAAATTGTTGGCAACTAGTTGATTATTGTTTTCAGATTAAATTTTATCTTCGGTACAAGGATATATATAAAGATATCACAGTGGAAATTAATTTACGTTATATTTTCTTCTACAGGGTGCATAATAATTCAAAATCCCTGCACGCAGTAATTTTGATAGAAATAACATAACTTTAATTTAAAAAAAATGTGTTTTATCCTATTGCTTTATAAAATATACAGTATAGTGTGGTTATAAAGGGGTTTAACTAATAGTGTACATTTCCTTTACAGTTTTGCTTTTATACAGCTTTTTGCCTAAAATTCCAATGACTTTCTTTTTGCATTGTTGCAGAGTTGAATTTTGTTGATACAGCACTTAATTACCAAAACTAAAGTCGTGGAAGGGGTTTTGAACTTGTCATAAAATTTTAAAAAATATGACCTGGACGACCTATTCTAACCAATAAAACTGGGAATGGTTCCATAAGAATACTAGGATTTACCAAACCAAAGTACCGGTGCCCTGAGTACTTTTTTACGGAATGGAAATTTTTCACTATTTTACTAAAAGAAAATTTCGATGCGGAAATTTTTCCT